TTTTTTCCTGCCTGATTCCTCCAGATTCTGGGAAACTATGGGGGAATATAATTATTTTCATAGCCATACAGTTACTGTACACATTCAAAAAGATTCTGTTATCCTTGTAACAGGACACAATTAGAAATTTTGATGGATTCTAATATCAGGACTTTGAAATATCATATTTAATAATGTACTTATAACAGATATGCATTCAAATCTATAATTAACACAGGCAAGTCTGGTGGCAAGTCCTAGGTTTGGCTTCGTAGTATGAAAAGGCTTTCTTTCATACTCCCCATCAGAAGTTCCTTACTAAACTTTTCATCAAGACGGTCTTTTAAAAAGTGGTGGCGAAGCTGTGCCTCGGGAGCCAAGTGGCCCCAGCATCGCCCCACAGCCCAGCCTCAGATAACACTCAAATAGGGGCAGTCTTGCACTTTGCAATTCACAACAAAGTGGGTTTTGGGCTGCCGTTTGGGCACTCGGTCTCTAAAAGTTTTGCCACCACTGGCCTATATGATAATCATTAATTTTACTGCCCTTATGTAAATAATCACGTCAAGTTTAATAAAATGAAACAGTTTTATAAAACAGATTAGACTTACTGTGATGGCATTTCGTTGAAATGTGGGTAGCTGTTATGGAAAAGGAGGTGTTTCAGTAGAAAATCACAGTGCATCCATCAGGTTTTGTTATTTACCTGGGAAATGACCCTTTCCTAGGATCCAACACTCTGGATCTGAGTGACCAGATGCAACCCCAGAGCCTGCCTCTGTACTAACGATGTGTGGGATTCCACAAAGGTCATCAACACACCAGAGGTCATGACCAGCGGCCTTCAGCAGGAGAATCCCTGAGTTGCAACTGCATCCTCAGCTACCACTAAAGTTGCTCTGACCTCAAAGATAAACATTGTCCTGTCTGTCTTCTGGATTCAGAAACTAAGTTCATAGTTCATTGCACCATTAATCTTTGGTTTTACTTTGTTTCCACAGAAATACCTCTGGGTTTGGGTTAGTTTGGTTTGCGAGGACCTTGGCTAAGGGCGCTCCAGTGTCTTCACTGATAACATGACTCCCGAGGCCCCTCCCTGCCGCCTTTTGTGGTGATCGTCACTGTAGTCTTCCCAGTGTGAATGTCCCCTCCGGGGCTCCAGTGCGGGTTTATAGCCACGCACAGTAGGGCCGGCCATCTCACTGCCGAGAGCCCAACACAAACAGATAAAAAGTAAAGGGTAATGTCTTGGTCATTGTTTTCAGCGAACTTGATGTTGTGACTTCTGAGTTTCTCGCTGATACAAAAGACAAACCAGCCCCATTGACAACACAGTGCCATTTCCCTCCAACTGTTCTCAAATAACTAAAAAGTGCCATTAGACTGAGTAAGCTTCAGTGTCCTGCATGCCCACTTAAGCAAATTAAAACCCACTTCAATGTAAGTACTAAAATAAAGCAGTAACCAGAGACTGACAGCTCACCTGTAACCAGGCTCTCAGCCCTGAGCTGAACGCAGGAAGGCAACTTCTGCACCTCAGTTCATCAGATACTCTCCGTGCCTTACACCCACGTTCATCCTAGGAAATGTTCCCCCACGTGCCTCTTTGGTGGAACCTAAAATGCCTGTGGTCTGAAACAACAAATTCATGATTCCTGCCTGCTCAAATAAATTCTTTAAAATGTTAAAGTGCCTAAGTTTATATTTTAACTTTCCATTCATAAAAGTCTTTTCTTTCATGAAAGTTTTATATTTTTCTTTGTAAAGATCCTACATAGTTTCAATAGATTTATATCTAAGATTTTGATTATCTGGGTGTTATCTGTACATGATTTTGTGGCTTTTATTTTACATTTTTGCTTATTTATTGATGATATATAGGAAAGCCATTTCTTTTTGTATTTTCATGTTGCATCTTGCAATTTTCTTATACTTTTTGTTATTTTCAGCATTTTTTTTATTTAATTCTTTGGGGTTTTCTAACAAATACATTTTATTTCTTTTGTGAACAAATACATTTTATTTCTTCCTTCCAAACATAAGTACCTTTTATATCCTTTTCCTGTTTAGTTTTGGACCACCTATAACTTCCAGGTGAGAATTTATCAAATATTATCCTACACGAGAATTCATCATCTATGTGATAAATATGGTATATAAATATATGATATATGGAGATATATGACACATGATATACAATGCTGAGAGATACTGGCATTTGGGGCCAAACATGATTAAAAGTAAAATCTTCCGGCACAGTGGAAGTAGGTAAAGAAAATACTCTTAGTGTCAGTAAACATTAAACCAGAGCATGCTATCCACCTTGCGGATTGTGGCAGGGGATTTGCAGGCAGAAAGGAGTCTCACTACCTCATACAATCAAGCAGACACAACGCACTGCAGACCTGCTTTCCAGGCTGCTTACGTTACTGATCCCTAGTGGCTCGCCCTTGTGGGCCAGGAGAAGAGCGTCGGACAGCCTCCTCTGCTGCCGTGTTCAAGCTGCTTCGTGAATGCTCCGCCCCTGGCTGCTCCAGCCGGTGCATACACACTGCATACGTAGGGCTGGCACATTCCTCTGAGCTCGGGGCACCACTCAGACTTTTCGCACTGCAGCCTGGAGCTCCTCTATCCACCCCAACCTTGTCACAAGTGCAGTGCTGCCCGTGGCCTGGAGACTCCTCTGGCCATTCTTGCCCCCTCTGCCCAGCTCCTCACAGCCGTTCCCCAATGCATTTGTTTCTATCCACTTCCTGTTGGTGTCCGCCTCTTTGAGACAGGCACATGTGATAACTCCTATTTGTCCACCCTGCCCCTCTGTGAGGAGGGCCCGCGCGGAGTGGTTACTCAGTAGGACATGGGGACGGCCAGACTTCCTGCAGGGTGTGTGAGGAAACGCCGTCAGGCTTTGTCTGACCTGTGTTCTATACAAGGAGAGTTTCTTCAGCCCCTTCCACATTTTTGGGTATTTTCAGTGTTTCTAAAATACTTCACTAGCTTTTCCTGAAGTCAAATTATCTGGTGTTTTGTCAAAGGACAAGGGCAGAAGCCTAAGCACTGTGTCTGGCCAGTGGGCAGGGGAGGGGTTAAATCCAAACACCTATGTTTTCTGGAAGGATGATGAGTAAAATTTCCAAGCCATTGTTAGAAATGCTCATTTCAGTAAATCCTCCTCTTTTGACTCATATTGCTTTCACTGTACGAAAGGACAGGTACGGCCCGGCTTTGAGGACGCCCCACAGTGGTTGGTCCCCTGCTGCTGTCCTCCACCCCCTCGCTCTCTGTACCAGCACTCAGGCCTCTGTGCATCCATAGCCTCGCCCAGGCCATCCCATCCTTCTCATGGACATTTCACATTTATATCTTCTCATGACTCAGAGCAGCGTGATTTGGGGAGTAGTGGATGCTAACGCCATCTCACTGCACCATTATTTTCCTTAAGGAGCTCCTTACCAAACAGCACCTGGAGAAAGACAAGGCCAGCCTAAATGAAACAGAACTGCAAGTTCTTTTCCCAGAATCACAGAATATCAGGACCGAAAGATATCTCTGAGATCACCTAGTCCAGCTCCTGTTGCAGACAGGAAGCACATGAAGCTTTGTGTCTTTCCACACAAGAGCACCTGCTTCCCTGAGTGTGCGTAGCTGCTGTTCCCAGCGTCCAACTCGTCCCCATTAGGCTGCATCTTGGCGGGCGCCCGTCAAGGCACGGTGGCCTGTAAGCTTCAGTGGCCAGGAGCCACAGTGTGCACATAAATAGAGCGGCTGCTCTCGCCCCGGAGGTTCTCCCCACAGCCGCTCTGCTTCTCTCCGGCAGCCCCGGCACCACTATGCGGATCTGTGTGCTGCTCTTAGCTGCTCTTCTTCTGCTCCACCAAGATCCTCCAGGTAAAAAGAGGCTCTTAGCTAGGAACATGCACAGCTGCTGAGGCTGGCGGGTAGAGAAAAACCTTGATTAAGAAAACAAATCCTGAAGATTCAGCAATCTTCATTTTCAGCACTGGCCTCCCTGGCTTCCCTGAATCCATTAGTGAGGCACTGTAAATGCTGTCCATCTAGCTACTTAGGCTTACGCTCATGGAAAAAAGACTGGGTAGGGATCGAGAAGCTTAGAAGTCACGGACGGACCTC